CTTCCAATCCCTAACGTTCTGGGATTCTGTGCGTCAAACCAATATTTTACTTGCAACTTTCGTGGCAAATGGTGTGGCTTGATCTGGAGTTTTTTGTTGTGCTGAAACACTGCAGTGATGGTGTCTGCTGCTCATTGTAATAACAAAAAGGCAGTGGTAGCAACTGAGGGAGAAGATTGAGTTCTTATTTAAGAATGATTTACAAATGATCTATCCATCTTGTCCCTGGCTAAATTAAATGCAGGATTTTTTTTTTTTGTAAAAAGAAAAGCATAGAAGTTTAATTTTTGGAAGTTTGTTTTCGTTAAGGCAATGGCACTATCGACTTCCCTGAATTTTTAACCATGATGGCCAGAAAAATGAAGGACACAGACAGCGAGGAAGAAATCCGTGAGGCATTCCGAGTCTTTGACAAGGTATTAAGAAAAGTACAAATATTATTTAGAACCAGTAATGATGTCCATTTTTCCTCCAGTGTTTTCTCCCTTGTCTGGAAGGAAGAAAATGGTTCCCTAGTAGAAGCAGAAGAATTGGAAACAGAGCAGGGACTGTTGCAGACTGGTTCTACCTGCTTTACACAGCAGGTCTAAGCTTTAGGCTCATCCATGAAGAACACTTTCTGCCCTTTCCTTAGGAGCAGAGATGAACAGAGCTTCTTGCCTGTGGGGTGGTAGTGTGGTGGGTTTGGTTTTTGTTTTGGCTTTTTTGGGGGGATGGAGTGGGAGGGTGGTGAAGGGGTGGCGTTTTTCTGTACCTTCCGACTTGGGAAAATGCTTGCATGGATGCACAAGCTTATGGAAGCTTTTGAAGTCAAGATTATGTCAGTATTTATTGGGGCATGAAGTATGGCATGCTCCATTGTCAAGATGTAGTCTTTAAGGTTAATTTCAGGAAAACCTAAGAGCTCAGCTCTGTTCTTTAGGGATGCCTGGGCATATACTGAAGGTCAATTATTTCTAGAACAGGGTTTCTCCTCTTTGGATTGCTTGCATATGACATGTTAGAGAATTGTTGAGTAGTGGCTGGTGCAGCTGCTAGGTTGATGCGCATGTGTGGAAGAAGGCCTTACTATTTCTCCTCTTTATGGAAAAAAGTGTCAGTTGCTGGAAAATGCGCTAGAGGAGATGTTCAGTTGTTTGATTAGTAGTTCATCTACCCTGTGGGGTTATTTCTGCAGGCTAGGTTTGTGTTTCAAAGCCATTGAGGTAGCTTATCTACTGGTGATAGTCATATGGACTCTTCTTCTAAGCTAGCGCATTCTTCCTGTACATGGAAGAGGACTATTGCGGAAGTGGCTAGGGATGAGCTTTAGGTTTTGATACTACTATTGGGAGCACTGACTTAAAAGTGTCATTCTCTCCCCCACTCTTTTTTTCCTCCACAAAGCTTTTCCCAGCTCTTTGAGAAGAATTAAAATACTGCTTTGAAAGTTTGTTTTGTATCACCTTATCCAAGAAGCCTAACCTAGCCACCTGCACTCTGGTTATAGATGTAGTTATACATGGAAGAGAAAGCTGACTTTATTCTTGCTTAATTATTTTTTTGGCCTTGCTTAGGCAGGAGAGACTAAACAAAACCCGTTTTGTTTCTGGGTTTAGTTTTGAAAGCTCTTTAAGAGCATTAAAAAATACCCTATCACAGCTACAAATCGGGAATGCAGTTATTCTTACAGTACAGTAATTGTATAAAAGGATATGGTGGTGTGCATGCTCCATAAGGCAATGGGACTAGAATATACTATAGGGTTATACCATGCACCAGGCCTTTGTATCTGTCCCAAGTGCTTGTGAGGCTAATTCAGAAGCAGTTACTGGATTCCTAGGAGTAAGTCAAGAGTTAATCAATGTCAGCATTGTTGATCGTGATCTCGTGCAACTCTTTCCTCACAGGATGGTAATGGCTATATCAGTGCAGCAGAACTACGTCACGTTATGACAAACTTAGGAGAAAAGCTAACAGATGAAGAAGTAGACGAAATGATCAGAGAAGCAGACATTGATGGGGATGGGCAAGTCAACTATGAAGGTAAAAACATGCTTATCTTGACTCAAAACCATTACGCAGATTGAGTGAAAGCCTGCTGCATAGGGCGTTAATTTCTAGTATTTGAGGCACCAGTTTATTTAGTTGTCCACTTTTCTGTGAACGAAAAATTAGATGCAGTGAAAGGGGCTTGTTGAAAGCATGTTTAAGACTTATCAATTTAAGTACTCTGGAGAAAATAAATTACAGTGACTTTTTATCTTTTCAGAATTCGTACAGATGATGACTGCAAAGTGAAGAGACGACCTTTACACGTTTTTTCCTCTAGAAGAATCAAATTGAATCTTTTACTTACCTCTTGCAAAAAAAAATGTTCATTTATTCATTCTGTTTCTGTATAGCAAAACTGAATGTCAAAATACCTTCTGTCCACAAACTGCATGTAATGGTTGGTGGTCCTGTCCCCAAAAGATAAACATCAGTTTTACAATATAAATAATTGTACTACCTTGAAAATAAAAAAAAGGAAGCACTTAGTGAACTCAAAAGTTCCATTTGCTAATGACTATTACACTGTTTGGGCTGGCCCGTTTTTCATGCATGCAGCTTGACAATTGAGCACAGTCAGACATTTGTATTTAAAAGGAAAAAAGAAACCAACCTAAAGGATCCACTCTTTTGTTCAACGGTGGATTCTAGTTCAATTTGTAGTATAAATTGTCATAGCTGGTTTACTTTAAAATTGGTTTATACCTCAGGATGGTATGCAGCAAAATGGTTGAAGGATGCAGAACTTAGAGAAAATGCCCTAAAGGTGGAATGGTTCTCCTGTACGTAGCAGTGTGCTCCAAAAATACGATGATCTTAACTGTGGATGGCATGTCTGTGTTAAAATACTGGTTTAACATTGTCTGCATTGCACTATAGTGAAACGGGTGTCGGGCTGTTACCGTTCACAAAATTTTTAAAAAACATTCTCCAAGGGAGCATCTTTGGACTCTCATATTTTTAAAACCTTCTGTACCATGACTTGGAGCTGGCGGAGTAGCCTGTGGACTTCAGCACAACTATCAACATCGCTGTTCAAGATACTACAATTTATGTCCATTCCAAGTTGTAAATGCTAGTCTTTTTTTCCAATAAAAGACCATTAACTTAAAGGTGGTGTTAAATGCTTTGTAAAGCTAAAATATATATATAATTGAGAGAATAAACCAAAAAAGCAGTAGGAGGAAAGTGTTTCTATGAATGACTTGCTGCTAAATTATAATGCACATGTATGCAATAAGTTATCCCCTATCTTTTCAAGATGGCAAGAACTGACCTCCTGTAACCCAAGACCTTTGCTATAAATAAATGAACTTGTGCTTGCCTTTCATATTACGGCAATGTTAATTTAGTTGGTCTCAAAGTCGTGCAATGCTGACTCGTCAACTATCAGCACAGAAGTAACACCTCATTTCACTAAAGTGGAGAGCTCTGAGCATGCATGTCAATACTGGGGAAACATGTATGGGTTGCTTATGTTTATTTTGACAGGTTATAGAAACTAGTTGGAGAACTTAAACAGCATGGACTTCATAGATATCTATGATCCTCAAACATGCCAAAAAATGCATTTCTCTACCCACAGAAAGAAAAGAAAAGGACAATTCCTTAACAATATGTAAAAAAACCCTTAAATTTAAAAAAAGACAAAACCAAACAAATCACAAAACCTAAGCCTTTTTGGAAACTGGGGCTATTATGTCTTGACTATCTTCTCAAACACTTGCATGAATTTTGTGGGGTGGAGAAGAGGACTAGGGTTAATTTAAAAACCATCTTGTTACTTCTGCTTTGCATGCACTAGCAGTGCTTAGTCATTCCAGGTCTCTGAGTAAGTGTTCTCTGATCCTTCAGCTTCCCCATGAATGAGTGGCAGAGCAGCCATGTCCACTCTTCTTTGTTTGAAAGAAGAATGCTTTGTTTTGTTTTATTTTATTTTCTAAATAGCAGAGCCTCCATGTGGAAGGCTTTTATGACTGGGAGGGAGGGACTACAGCTTAATTACTTGACTGTAAGTTTGTTTCCAAATGTAACTGGAGTTGCAAACCTTAATTGCCTTTGGTTTTGGAGAGTATGGATACTATCTCTTGAGAGAGGTGCAAGTCTCCATTCATCCTGTCTAACTGAGGTGCCTGCGTTAAGAACGTGGTTGCTTGAAATGCAGCTTTGCTGAGTGGGGGTCAAGAGGTGGCTCCAGAAGGCAATTGAGACTGCCTTCAGTGATTTTATGATTATTTTTAATTTTATTTTTTCCTGGGGGTGGGAGGGGGGGACTTCTGGGTGACTAGGGACCCAGACACCTTAACCAAGTGCCTAAAAGTTAGATGGACTGAATGTAGGCAATTGTTTAAGATCTCTAGTTGTTGCAAAGGCTTTTTGCTATGGCTGTGTACGCTGCCTTAGCAAACTGGCCGTGATGATGGGAATGTCTGACTACCATTTGAAAGTAGAGCCTTGCATGGCAGCTGCAAACTGCTACTCTGGTAGTGCTTGAGAAAGGCTGCGCTGATTCTGTAGACCAGCTTTTAAAGAGAACGTGCTCAAGAGACTGGCAAGGTAGAAGCAATGGTTGCTGCTCTGAACTAATTACTACTTCTGCCTGTGTGTGCAGAGAGATCTTGTCTAGTAGGTAAATGCTTCTTACCATCTATCTGTCATTCACTCATGGTTGGTAGAGTAGTTCGTTTAAGAACAGCTGCTTTTAGCTTATTCAGTGTGCTCTGTGCTTGCTAGCAAAGAGACCTCCTTCCTGCAAGAGGTTCTTGGCTTGATTAGAAATTGTCTGGCAGTGTGCGGTGTTGGTATGCCCTGTAACTGAATCTGCCTGGAGGTATCTAATTATTAACTGACTTCAGTACCACATCAACCTCAAGTAAATGTATCCTCTGTACAGGAATTTAGCTCTGTTCCCTTCTGCGTAGTGAATATCTAGAGAAATGAAATGGTGTCATCGAGGAGTTTTTTAATTTTTTTTAATTTTTTTTTCTGTGAGTGTGTGTGTGTGTGTGTGTGTGTGGCTTTGGCTTTTTCCAACTGTGAAAGTGTGGGCTGGATACACTTGGTGCATGGCTTAGAAACATGGGACTGGGAAGAACTTCCTGGGTGATCGGATCCAGTCCCCTGCTATTGCAGGCAACCGTGTCATATAATCCTTTTAATAAAACTGATCAAGCTTAACCACCTGCTTGTAAGTGGCTTGTTTTCATGGAAGTTCTGTAACTCATGTTGCTCTCAACTGATGCAAGTAATATATGAAATATGAAGTTAATCAAAAGGTCCTCCAGCTTAGCTTTATCATTACACTTATTTAACTGACTTCCTTGAACCTGTTTTAATTTGCGCAACACTCAGGAAAGTGTTGAATCTTTACACCCCCTTGCTATGAATAAGAGTTGGTGTGCTTGCTTATTTTTTTAATGGAAAAGATGGATGTCTGGCTTGTTGAAATCTGTTAGATATATTAATTGTCAAGGCAAGAAACAATTGAGTTACTTGTATTTGATACATAAATTTAAGGCTAGAGTATACATAACCATTTTTAAAATACATCAACTTGCAGTGTAGTTTTATATTTAATACTGAAATTGTACTGCTAAAGTTTAAACTGCTGTTAATCATATTCCTCTTCTGATCATAATGAAAAAATAAAGGGTAAGAAAATGCTTAACATAGATTATTCATTATCATGCTTATTTTATTAATACTTCAGGCACTGAAACCTCTCCAGGTACGGGGCATTTGTTGTGTTTGCTGGGGTGGGCTGGGGTGAAGGGGGGGGTGATTTACCGATGTGGTAGAAGACTCTCACCCACCCACCATCCGTCACGCTCGCGCAGCTTCAGAAAAACAGATGCTATCAAAAACTGATCAATAAATTACCCTGTGTGTTATTGATGCATTAAATGCACGCGTGGACGTGGGTCTGATCCATGGGCGCCCTGCCCGGGTGAGGGGGGATGGGGGGGACACACGAGGCTGTATCTTTGTCCCTGTGTTGCAGTGGCATGTGATGTGCATGCAGATGTTCCCAGGTGACACAATCCTCAACTAAAAGCAGCGTCTTGGGGTTTAGAAATAACAGAGTTACTACAGCTTGCTTTTCCCCTGCCGTGAAACTAACTGCAACACTTCTCTTATTGCAATCCAATTAGTTGGGTTTTTTTTTTGTTTGGTGAGAGGTTTTGGTTTCTTTTTTAAGATTTAATGACTAAGTGAAGCCTGACAAGGCACTGTGGCAGGACCATGGCACATCATCTGACCACAGACATCCGGTCATCAAGTGAAGATAAGTGATGAAGGTCAATGCCGTGTTTCTCCCAACTGACATTTAGGAAAGCAGATGGTTTACCTGCAAATAGAGTGGGTGGATAGTACAGTAAGATAAATGCATATAAAGTTGTGTGGGGATTTTTACATAACAGCATTGCAATTCTAAAATATTAAAGGGTGGGGTTTTTAAAATCCAAATATGGGGTTTTCAAGTCGATTATTAATTGTGTATGAATTTGGAGTTCCAAGGGTTCCTGATGTTATTTGGCATAGAAAACCTGTATGAAGGCCCAACTACTTAAAGGGTTGACATTTTCTAAGAACCCCTACCAGTGAGTATCCTAGGGAAGCATTCAGAGGATATTTGTGACAGTTGATAATTTGTTTTAAGGTTTATATTAATAAATCTGGGTTTGAACTGAAGTGGCCAAGCATCTCAATAAAGACAGAGATGCTGCTTAAGTAGATGTGAAGAGAATCCCTTACATTCCCATGGATGATTAAGCACAGCTGATATCCAGCAATAAACAAGTGCTTGCGTTGTGCTCTGTTCTACTGGTGCTGGTGTTCTCCCTGTGGCTTTAACAAGGACCCTCCTCTTGTTCCCCATTCAGAGGGAAGAACGCACTTAAAGCCCAGCACAGCCCTTTTGGCCAACAAATCCTAAACTCCAGGATAAAAAAAAAAGATACTAAAAAAAGGAGTATATTGCAGTGGGTGGTTAAATTTCTCCTAGATGTCTTTGGAGTCTGAGATGCTGAGTGGCACCAGCACCATATAGCGATGTTAGAAACAAAGCTGAGAAGCAGATCTCCCAGCATTACCACCAGAAACTCTAATAAAGAGGTTGCAAGTTGCCCTTTCCAGTGTCCCTATGGGTGTTGGACAAAGCTGGCAATGAGTACCGCAGCTTCATACATGGTGACTTCCTGTTCTGATCTTTCATAGGAGTTTCATTGACTGGGAAATCTTGTACAGATCTCCTCTGAAGACCCACTTTCAGCTGCCTCAGAAGTCAGCATCTACAGAAATACTGAAAGAATTATTCATTGTGCAGCTTTTTCCTGGCAAAAACATCTAAGACAATTAGTGGTTGAAGTACAACATGAGAACTAGGCTAATCACCTAAAAATTAATAAAAATGTTTTCCTTTTTTTAGTATTTCTAGATCTCTAAATATGATGTATTTGTAAAACAGATTCTTGAACAAAAATCCTACTTGCCCTACCAACTGCATAATTTAAAATGAACACAATATTTGAGTAAGAACCAAATCAACTGAGAGCTCTGTAAAAAGGCATTGAATAGCATTCACCAGTTTACTGGTTTGCAGTGGGGTTGGCAATAACAATGCTGACGGCATAATAGCTGTCCTGAAAAATGTTGTGGTGAAAGGAACGGATAGGGAGAGAGCATAAAGAATACCTGAGCATGGGACTGCTTTGTAGTCTTGTCTCATGGAGTATTTGTGGCCCATAAAGCCATAAATATTTGATTGTGAGCCCCCTGGGCATTAACTTTTTCTAGCAGCAGTGCCATCACTCAGTTTATCTGCTTTTCCTAACCTGTCCCCTAAAGCTTCCCACATTAACTGTGCATACGTGAAAAGATACCACCTGGAAAAGTTAGTGTAAGCCTGCTGCACTTCACAACTCGTCAAACATGCTCTGCTTGTTCTGAGCTTTCTTTACAAACACATTGAAAAGAATAATTTCCTCCAGACCTTCTGGTAGGAGGCAAAACATAACCATGATATCAGATCGGTTTTTACTGAATCTCTTCTTAAGTAAAATATTTCAACCCAGAATATTTCTCTCCCTAGAAATGTGTGCAATATCATCAAAACTAGATTTTCTGGGATTTTGATATAAAATTCAATAGATATTTTCTAATAACTTAATTATTCCTTTACATATTAATGGAGTAAAAATTCCTACAAACATACATCAGGTGCCCTGACAAATCAATGTGTATGATGCTGTCCACCTTATGTAGCTGAATTAAAGACAAGTAGGTTACATCAGTAAATCAAGTCAACAAGTAAAACATCTTTTACTATCA